AAAAACTCTACAAATTACTCAGCCTCAAAAAGACAGACAACAGTTGACTCCATGGTTCTACATATAGTTTGTAATTGTTTTCCACAGTCCACATGCTGAAGTGTGATAAACATTTCACTGGCCATATTTCAACAGGCTCTGACACAGCAAATATCCTCAAGAAGAGTAGACTATGTTCAAGTAAATGTTCTTGGTAAGTGCCAAGCACATGGAAGGCCTTCCACAAATGTTCATTGCTTTCCCATTTCTTTCACTTTGTCCCTCACCAATTCTCATAAGCCCATGTGCACCAAGGAGCATGCATACGTGTATGTGCATCCTGACTTTTCAAAGACCAGACTCTTGCCTAGTATAGCAAGAGTTATATGTATCAAAATTCTTCTAGGAAGAACCATTTTTAAATGAGTTATTTTATTATACCATTTCCTGTCCTTTTCAGACACTAACACCTTTAAAAGCTCAGTGATATTTTTCTTAAGCCCCACTCTGCCAATTATTCATTTATCAAAAAAAATTTTTTTATGCCTACCATGTGCCATGCATTCTATGGGGTATTGGTGTCAAAACAGTCCCCATCTTTTAGAAATTAGCAATCTAGAGAAAAAAGCCATATAAACCAAGACACAAAATAAAAATACCAAATGAACAAAGGTCAAATAAACACAACATATTAAAGAATGAACAAATTGGGGCACCTTGGTGGCTCAGTTGGTTAAGCATCTGACTTCAGCTCGGGTCATGATCTCACGGTGTGTGAGTTCGAGCCCCATGTCAGGCTCTGTGCTGACAGCTCAGAGCCTGGAGCCTGCTTCAGATTCTGTGTCTCCCTCTCTCTCTGCCCCTCCCCCACTTCTGTTCATGCTCTCTCTTTCTCAAAAATAAGCATGAAAAAAATTTTAAAAATAAAAATAATGAACAAATAAAAAAATAAATTGCATGATGCTGATCTAATTGCACAACTATTATCTATATGCCAAGATTTTATGTATTTGTGTTCAGCAAAGGAACCTCCTTGTTTTCATTGATTGACCTTATCAACAAGCATTTTTTTACATGTGAACTTACATAATTCATTGATATTAATAGAATATTGCTTTTATGCCACTTTATATACTGGGTTTTCATTTAAAATTCTACTGTCAAAGTCTCTTTAACAAATGGTGCTGGGAGAACTGGACAGCAACATGCAGAAGGTTGAAACTAGACCACTTTCTCACACCATTCACAAAAATAAACTAAAAATGGATAAAGGACCTAAATGTGAGGGAGGAAACCATCAAAACCTTAGAGGAGAAAGCAGGAAAAGACCTCTCTGACCTCAGCCGTAGCAATCTCTTACTCGACACATCCCCAAAGGCAAGGGAATTAAAAGCAAAAGTGAATTACTGGGACCTTATGAAGATAAAAAGCTTCTGCACAGCAAAGGAAACAACCAACAAAACTAAAAGGCAACCAACGGAATGGGAAAAGATATTTGCAAATGACATATCGGACAAAGGGCTAGTATCCAAAATCTATAAGGAGCTCACCAAACTCCACACCCAAAAAACAAATAACCCAGTGAAGAAATGGGCAGAAAACATGAATAGACACTTCTCTAAAGAAGACATCCGGATGGCCAACAGGCACATGAAAAGATGTTCAGCGTC